AAATACACAATAATTGATAACTATTTGTGAGGCATAGGGAAGAAGGATAAAAGATACCAGGCTTGGCAACTGAGTATGTGACACTATTGTTCCAAATCATTCACTCGGTTTTATAAAGAGAGAAATAGCGTTTTTTATTACTATTATACAAAATTTTTATTCTATGAAAATTAAAAAATGAAATAGAAATGATATAAAAATAGCTCTAAATAAAAATACTTTTGCAAGGTTGAATTAACCCTTTGCACATATCCTGTTAGATCTCTGTGAGACTACAAATCTCTACAAAATTGGAATTACAGTGGACAACACAGGTTTGGACTGCATGGGTCCACTTACACACAGATTTTTTTTTCGATAAATATAGTACAATACTGTAAATGTATTTTCCTTGTAATTTTCTTAATATTTTTTTCCTCTAGCTTCCTTTGTTGTAAAAATACAGTATACAATGCATATAACATTCAAAATATGTTGACTGTTTATATTATTGGTAAGGCTTCTGGTCAATGGTACACTATTAGCAGTTTTTAACTATGTGAGGGAGGAAGTTAGGCATCCCAACCCCTGCATTATTCAAGGATCAACTGTACATTTTAAAACTTCCTCTTTACACTTAATATATCAAGTCAATAACATACATTTCTTCCACATCATTTTTAATGGCCGAATACTGTTCTATGCGTGTAGCTTAATTTACTTAAGGAGTATCTTTAAAAAAAATTTTTTTAATGTTTATTTTTGAGAGAGAGACAGTGTGAGCTGGGGAGTGGCAGAGACAGAGGGAGACGCAGAACCTGAGGCAGGCTCCAGGCTCCGAGCTGTCAGCACAGAGCCCCACTTGGGGCTCGAATTGTGAATCGTGAGATCATGACCTGAGCCGCAGTCAGATGCTCAACTGACTGAGCCAGCCAGGCGCCCCTATTTAAGGAATATCTTAACAAACAATGCAGGAATGAATACTCTTGCATTCAAATTGTTACACATATTCTTATTTCCTTATGATACATTTCTAGAAGAGGAACTTCAGGGTCAAATGCACATGCTCAAGGCTTCTGACACGTACTGTCAAACTGCACTCTAGAAGTGTGTGCCATTTATATACTCGGAAGTTTAAGAAGCCCTATTTCTCTGAACCCTTGCCAGTACTAACAAGACATAATCACTTGTTAAAATAACACCTGAAAACCAAATTAATGTGTAACATGTGTTCTGTCACTCACTCCCAAGATGGACTATTAAACTTTTATATTACCATTCAAAGCTTAAGATTCTTACCTACATTTTAGATGAAGAATCTGAGATCCAGTAAGTTACATAATAAATCAGACCACTACATAATGGAAATTTCTGCCCCATATACGATATTGAGTATTCTTTCTGATTTGCCAGTCAGCCTTACCAATTAAGTTGTTTTTCCTATAATAGCCTTGTCAATTTCCCCCAAAAAGATATACATCTTCATTATCCAGGGATGGAAGCTAGTACATTCCATTAGTTTAGCACAATTTTTCCTATCTGCTTCCCAGCTTGGATTTTATTTACTAAAAAAAAATTTTTTTTTTTTAACGTTTATTCACTTTTGAGAGAGTGAACGCAGAGCTGGGGAGGGGCAGAGGGAGAGGGAGACACAGAATAAGAAGCAGGCTCCAGGCTCGGAGTTGCCAGCACAGAGCCCAACACAGGACTCCAATTCATGAACCGTTGAGTTCCTGACCTGAGCTGAAGTGGGATGCTCAACCAACTGAGCCACCCAGGTGCCCAGGAGTTTACATATTATGTGAAGGAAACCTTTCAAGACATTTAAAAAAAAAAAAGCTTACCTAATTTTGGAAAAGAATCTATTTCATTCATTCAATGGTTTATTTATTCAGTGTTTCATTCATTCAACAGTACTTACCTAATGTATACTATGTGTGGGGGATAAAGCAGTGATCAAAATAGATGTAGCCCCTGCCCCCATGGAACTTAAATTTTTAGTGGGGTAAAGGGAAACAGATAACAAACAATAAAGATAATGATAAATTATAAATGTTATTTAAAAATAAATGGGAAAAGGAGATACTTTAAAAATGGTGAAGGAAGGCCTGTCAGAGATTCTTTCTTTTTTTAAAGTTCTTATTTATTTGGAAGGGAGAGAGAATGAGAGTGTACAGGGGAAGCGCAGAAAGAGTCCTAAGCACTGACAGTGCAGAGCCTGATACAGGGCTCGAACTCAGGAACCATGACATCATGACCTGAGCCCAAAATCAAGAGTCGGATGCTTAACACACTGAGCCACCCGTGTGCCTTGATTTCTGAGTTAAGACCTGAAGGATGAGAATGAGTTAGCTACATAGACACCGAGAAAGTACATCCCAGACAGAAAAAAATAATAGTGCAAAAGTACAAAGGTCCTGAGATGGAGTATCAGTTAAAATTAAATTCAGTTGAGAAGAGACCCTAGAGTTTTATTTTTTTATTTTTAAAAATTTTTTTTTCAACGTTTATTTTTGGGACAGAGAGAGACAGAGCACGAACTGGTGAGGGGCAGAGAGAGAGGGAGACACAGAATCGGAAACAGGCTCCAGGCTCTGAGCCATCAGCCCAGAGCCCGACGCGGGGCTCGAAGCCACGGACCGCGAGATCGTGACCTGGCTGAAGTCGGACGCTTAACCGACTGCGCCACCCAGGCGCCCCAAGACCCTAGAGTTTTAAATAAAATAGAAATTTATTTTCTCCTATCCAAATCTAAATGTAGGGGCGCCTGGCTGGCTCAGTCGGTTGAGTATCTGAATCTTTGATTTCCATTCAGGTCATGACCAGGGTTGTGGGATCGAGCCCTGCGTCTTTGGAGCCTGCGTGGGATTCTCTCTTCCTCTGCCCCTGTCTTCCACTGGTGCTCACTTGCTCGAAGAAGAAAAAAAAAAAAAAAAAAA